ATCCAGCTCCGGCAGCGCAGGAGGATCCACACCAAGGCTGGCACAGTTTACCCCTGCTTGGCGTCGTACAGGGGTTAAAGTCCCCTCCTTTTTATGAGCCATGAAACCATTTTTATGAGCCCAGCTGTTTCAATAGCCCGGCTGTTGAGAGCCTCCTTCCCACAAATGCACAAGGAGAAATTCCAGGCAGAGGTGGGCCCGGCGCTGCTGGTTCCCCTCGGGGGGGATGCCAGCTTTGGGGCAGTTCCCTTTGGGAACGGTGCTTTGTGCTCCAGCTGCTTCTGCCCAAGACCTGGCATTTCTGGGAGAACGGAGCGGATGGCCTGCGGCCGGCTCGTGCCAGTGTCTGTCCCCTGGGCACAGGTCACCACCCAGGCTAGGACCAGTGCTGGGCTGGGAGAGGGACCCACGCGCCCCTGACCCTGCTCCTGCTGCTGCTCTTAACGGCCGCTCTCCCCTCCCGCTTGCAGGGCCAGCCAGCTCCTGCCCCTCGCCCTCGGGTGAGCCGGGAGCCCAAAGGTGACCTCGAAGCTGAGCAGCGTCCCCAGCGCAGGGCGAGGTTGGCAGGGGGTCGAACGCTGACTCTTCCCAGGAGATGGACAGGGTCACCAGGCACCTCATCTTCCAGCTCCCGCAGACCCAGCACGGGCAGGACTGTGACGATGCTCCCCAAGCCAGCTCATTTGCAGAGCAGAGGACCAACAGCGACGACGATGATGTGTTTGCCTCCACCCAACATGACCAGGGGGTGGAAAACGGCTATGGCTGGAGAACGAGGTCAAAGTCACCCTCGCATTTCCTGGATGGTGGAAAAGGCGTCTGGCCCCTGTCCCCGGACAGGGAGTCCAAGCTGGAGGTGGTGAGGTCGGGAAGCCTGTACGATCTCAGGGCTTACAGAGGCGAGAGGAAACCCTCGAAGCTTTATGACGAGGATGAGCAGGAGGAGGACAGGGTCCCTCCACCAAACATCTCACCCGAGAAAGCTAGGGAGCTTGAGGATGAGAGGAGGGAGATCATCCGGAGCCAGGTGGTGAGGAAGAGCTCCACTGTGGCCAAGAGGTGGAGCTCCATGGATGAGCTGAGCTCCACGCACACTGGCACCAACAGCCAGGCTGAAGGCAGGCCCGCGGGCAGCTCCACCACCAGCTTCGCCATTTGCTTTGACAAGCCTTCCTCAGGGAGGGCAGCGACGTCTGTTGACCCCGAAAATATTGACACGGAGCAGATCAACTTCTCCGCTGCTCGGCAGCAGTTCCTGATGCTGGAGAAGACCAGCCCGGGCTCTTTCTTCAGCCCAGGGCAACAGGCCATGTCCCCGAAGCCAGAGTCGATGACAAAAGTCTCTAGGCAAGAGTGGCATAGTCCTGAGATGGCAGCGAAGGCTACGAGAGGGGTGTCCTGCAAGACGCCTGTGGAGGAGGAGGCTTATGCTCCCAGAAGGGCTGATACTGAAAGGTCATATCCCACTGGGAAAGCATCCAGCTTGACTAAAGCATCTTCCAGAGAGGACCTGGACTCTGGCTTGGGTAAGATGTCTAATGAAGCCAGTGCAGGCTACACCAGTGGTGGAGGTGCATCGAACAACATCTGCAATGGCCTTGTGGAGCTGAGCGCCGGCAGCAATGGCCTGGACAAGGAGACAAAGATCAGCAGCGAGACGCCCATCGAGCGGGAGATCCGCATGGCCATGGAGAGGGAGGAGAACCTCTGGAAGGAGAGGGGGATCCCGCGGCTGACCTCCAGCAGCGAGCTGGTAGAGATCCAGACCAAGCCTCTCCTCTCCATGCATGCCCCCCCCAGCCCGGGCAGGAAAGGGAAGGGCAAAGGCCGCGCTTCCCTTTACGTCCAGAGGGAAATCGAGCAGGAAACCAAGCGCGAGGAAGATCTGAAGAAGCAAGGGCGGCTGCCGGGGACGTACGACAGGGGGACGCAGCAGGAGCTGGATGAGCGGAGGAGGGTGTTTGAGCAGGAGGAAGCCCCCCTGCAGAAGCCCACCCCCACGAGGAAGGCGGACGAGCAGAGAAGCTGGGCTAATGAGTTTGCGGCAGAGCAGCCCATGAGCCGTGGTCCCTGCCCTGCAGAAGACACCAGGGGTGGGAGAAGCCTTCCCAGCTACGCAGTGAGCACCACGCGCTGCCAGGAGTCCCATCCGCGCTTCGCCGCCAGCGAGAAGAGCCAGGACCAGCCCTGGGTGTCCCAGCGCGTTTCCGCCAGTGGCAGCAAATGGGGGAGAGAGGATTCCTGGGAAGGACGGCTTCCCAGCTCCACCCCGAGCCCCACCGGCACGACTGTCCTGCCCAAAGAGTACTTCTACGTCTCCCTCTGGAAGCCCAAGGTCTCCTTCGTTGACGCCATGGGGACGCAGACCCCGCGCAGGAGGGAGGACGGCCAGGAGGAGCAGTACAGGCTGAGGACCTGGAAGCGCCAGGCATCGGCGCTGATCGAGAAGGAGATCCAGAGCGACCTGCAGAGGGAAGAGGAGCTGCAGGAGCAGCGGCGGCAGCAGCAGCTGATAGATGGCTGCTCCCCAGTTGGCAGCGACAGCTTTTCCCAGGAGGGCTCCCACTCACGGCACAGCTCCGGTAAGGGGAGGAGAGGAATGGTGGGACGGGACTGGGTGGGGGTCAAACGCTGGGGCAGAGCTACCATGGGCATCGCTCCTGCCCTCCTGTTCCTCTTGGCTCCGAGTCTCTGCAGGAGCCATCAGAGGGGCAGGGGTTGCCCTGGGAGGTGCCCATCCCAAGGGAGCTGTTGGGCAGCAAACCCTTAGGGTGCCCACAGCCTGCACGGACGCCTTTCGCGGGCGGTGGCCAGAGGTGACCCGGGCTCTCCCTGAGAGCAAGGGCGGCCGCGGCAGGGACGGGGGGACAGCATCGAGTCCCCACCTGGGAGGGCCTGGTTGTGGCTGAGGGGTCCAAGTTCCTCCCTGCGAGGACTTGCTGAGGTGCCCGTAAGGACCCCTGTGTGTCCCGGGAGAAATAATTCTCCTCGGAAGGGAATTCTGCGGTCAGCAGGCAGAGGGGCTTGGGGGGAGCTGGACCAGCCCAGCCTGCCGGGGGAGCGGATGTAGGGAACGGCTGCTGCGGGATGGGCTCCGCCGGACCAGCACGGCTCTCGATTCTAGAGCTGCTCAGATGCCGATGTCCCTGTCACAGCACCACAGAAAACAGTGCTGGAAGGGCCCGGGGTGCCCAGCACATGCGTTTCCCCTCCCTCGCTCCCGGCAATCCCTGGCCGGCACCCAGGTGTGGGGTCCCAGCTGTGTCCAAACCCGCTGGACCTGCCGAAGAGGCTGGTCCGGGGTGGGAGCCTTCTCTCCCATGGGTACCCCAGCCCCCGGGAGCGGGCCTGGTGT